GGGTTCAGGGTTTAGGGTTAAGGGTTTAGGATTCATGATTTTGCCTTTACAGACATTCCATTTGCATCCAAATAATCCTCTTGAAGTATCGGGAAGAGGCATCCCCAATGGAGCTCAACTTCCCAAAGTGCCCTTAACGCCCCGTAACTAAGGCATATACCAGAAATAGGGATCCTCCCTAAACCCTAAACCCTAAACCCTAAAGCCCAAACCTTAAACCCTAAACCCCCAAACCCTAAACCCCAAACCCGAAAGCCTAAAGCCTAAAGCCTAAACCCCAACCCCCAAGCCCCAAAACCCCTGAGCCCCAAACCTGAAACCCTGAACCCTATTCCTCAATTTCGGGGTATTGGTCTCTTTGAATCCGACACGTGTCTTGCAGCTGAGAAGCTCTAGCACTGCCAGTCCAGGGTGGTGCTGCGCCTGCGCGTGTGAGCGTCTGGGAGTGTTCCAGACCTGTTGAGGTTTAGGGTTTGGGGTTTGGGGTTTAGGGCGTACTCGGAGGTTCATGGGTAGTTGTAAGTAGGGCCACATACAAATACCCTAAGTATAGTGAAGTAGGCGCGAAGGAGGTCCGTCCATGCAGACTGGTTGCGCATGATGGGTATCCATTGCATATCCTGACATTGGCTCCCTTGCCTGTCACGTTCGGTCCCCGCACACCATCCAATACGTCAACGCGCCGTCCAAGAAAAAAACAAGTACCTTTCAGAACATGCCTTAACTCAGAGCAGTCTAGCATGGCATCCAAGCTGAAACCCTAAACCCTAAACCCCAAACCCGAATCCCTAAACCCTAAACCCTCAAGGCGTGTCTGCTTCAAACTGGGGGCACACCTCAACTCATCAGATGAACCTCTCTATAAGCTAAGGCCACATTCCTTAACTGGGGCATCCTGCGCTCTTCGGGTAAAGAGGCCTCTGTATGAGTAGCCCTCTAAATAGCACCATCATAACCCGAAACCCGAAACCCGAAACCCGAAACCCCCCTAAACCCTAAACCCTAAACCCTAAACCCTAAACCCTAAACCCTAAACCCTAAACCCTAAACCCTAAACCCTAAACCCTAAACCCTAAAGAGACTCTAACATTGGGCTCCCTGGGCTTTTGCAGAACTCCTGGAGTACACCACCACCCTGTACACCCAAAGTGTACTGCACAGTATCCGGGTGGGGTGCCTTATGGATGGCTTCCATAAGGGTATATAGGGGCTAAAAAGGAGTTATATGGTATAAACGTTGCCTTTTATATGGCTTCCAGAAGGGACATGTAGGGGCTAAAAAGCTAAAAAGGAGGTATATGGTATAAAAAGGCTGCATAGGGCTTCTTTCTGGGCTAAGGGCCCCAAGGGTTGTATCGCCACCCCATCGCCTACCCCAATTGGGCCTCAACCCCTCATCCTAAACCCTAAACCAAAAAACCAAAAAACCCTAAAACCTAAACCCTAAACCCTAAACCTCTCTGCCTCACTTTGGGCCCTCCCGGCCTCCGCTAGCTTGGACCCACCTCGCGGCCTGTGAACGTGTTTCGCAGGCATCGGCGTAGGGGCTACTCCCTAAGCCCGCCTTTGTTAAGGCATAGGGTTTAGGGTTTAGGGTTTAGCTAGGGTTCAGGGTTTAGGGTTTAGGGTTGGAGGTTGAGGGTTTAGAGCCTCGAAACCCCGTAACATGTGAACGCATCCCCTCAGCCCTTTGGGGTTTAGGGTTTAGGGTTTCGGGTTTAGGGTTTCGGGTTTAGGGTTTAGGGTTTCGTTTCACAACTTGGCAGCACTTAGTAGGGTAGCTATAATTTGAACTTTAGCTGCCTTATTAAGAATCCCAATAAACCCAAAAAGGCTCAGGATCTAAAGTTACAGTAAAGCACCACAGCGACATGATGGCATGTTTTAGCATATGGGGGAAATCTTGAATCTTCGGTTAGGGGCTTTGGGGGAGGGGCTTGCTGGACGACTGCTATGTAGTGGTCAACTCGTTTGGGCAGCACTTCGATACGTGTGGAATGCATCTCAATGTTGGCCCCAAAGCCCTGAAACCCTACACCCTCAGTAGCCTTCAACTCCACAGACTCCAGCGCCTCAACCCTACACTCACCCTGAACCCTAAGCCCTAAACCAAGGGAGAGGGGTTCATGGGGGATAGGTACCTAGGGAAACTGAGGGAACCTCAGGGAAGCTTAGGGAGCTTTGGGGAGTAGTGGAGAGGATTAGGGAACCTTGGGTTACATGCCCCCCTTGAACCCCCTGAATGCTGAACCCTTAACCCTAAGCCCTAAACCCTGAACCCTAAACCCTAAACCCTAACCCTAAACCCTGAACCCTGAACCCTAAACCCTAAACCCCAAACCCCAAACCCTAAACCCTAAACCCTAAACCCTAAACCCCACCTTAAGAACGCCATAAAGAAACCCGCCTCGGGGACCCAGGTACTGCAGAGCCGGTCTCGGAGCCCGAGTGCACGCGCTCCTCTCGCCCTCAGCTTTGGGGTTTATACTGCGACATAATGAGTAGGGTTTAGGGTTTAGGGTTTAGCGTTTTAGGGTTTAGGGTTTAGGGTCTAGGGTCGGTAAGTCGGTTTATGGGGATGAATAGGGGATACTAAGCAGACGGCACGAAGTCAAAATGGCTTCCAAGTCGGCATGTCGGCCTCGGGTTTATGGCGTGTAAAGCCGCTTAGGGTTCAGGGTATCGTTGCTGCTTCTATTATCTGGATTCAATGGGTTTAGGGTTCAGGGGTTAGTTCCGCTTTTGGCTTTTGCGTGGGCGAGGGGGGGGGGATTCTTTGAGTGCCTTTCTTGCTAGGTCGGGTAAGGGAACGTCACCCAGACGTGCCGAACTGCCCCCGCCCAACTCGCTAAGAGCTCGTTTGAATCCTTGAAGTCCCCAATGTCCCCCCCCCCCCCCCCCCCCCCCCCAAAAAAAAATCCCCAAATCCCCCAAAATCACTAGACCCCCAAAGCCCGAAATCCCCCAAAAATCCTCTTAACACCCCGAGAACCCTAAACCACAAGCCCAAAAGCCCTCAACCCCCCCCCCCCCCCCCCCCCCTCCCCCGCAAAATCCCCCAAAATGAGGCTGAGAGTCGATGCTTTGGGGACCACTGCCGTTTGCTCTTCCTCCCCGCGGACTCGTTCCTCGGATGGGCGAAAGACTCCGGGTGCCGGGGTTTGGGGGTTTAGCATCCTGGGAGCGTTCAGGGTTTAGGGTTTGGGGTTAGTCCTGGCAGGGTTTAGGTTGTTGAGGGTTTTGGTAAAACCCTGAAGCCCAGAGAATCCGAAAAGCATGGGAACTATCCCTTTTGCCCTAAACCCTAAACCCCAAGCCCCCCCCTGTTTTTTAGGGTACTTATAAGCTACTCATAACCACCCATGAACCTCCAAGTGGGCAGCCCGAAGTCCCCCCCCCCCCCCCCCCCCCCCCCCGGAAATCATGCTGGGCTCCTTATAAAACACGAAAACGCCACGGCGTAGCGTGGGGAGAAGGGGGTAGCCCTAAACCCTCAACCCCCAACCCCAGAAGGCCTGACATGATTTAAGGATGATGAAAGAGCTGGGATTCCCTTTAGTGCACCTTCTGCTATACTCCCCTTAGAACCTTAATAAAAACAATAATTATAATATCCTCTTGGATTTATATGAACAAAAATAAAAAATGATTCCCAAGGGTGATTTTGTTTGGGGTCTGGGGATGTGGATGTTCTCCAACCTTTTTGGGGCCCAGGATGAAACGTTACAGCGCGCAGGAAGCTGGCTCTGATGCCCCCGAACTTCTCCACCTAGACCCAGGAGTAACCTAGGGAAAAAAGGGTACCCCTTTAAAATATAAGGGAACCCCAACCGAAAAAAAGAAATATTTAAAAACATGGTACCCTTTATAACTGGAACCCCCAAACGTTAAAAAAGGAACTAAGGGCCCTACTCCGGGTCCTAGCCACTACCTCGCCACTTACACTCCGAGGATCTCGGCGCCATCTCCGCGAATCATGTTCAGGGCCTGCCAGAGGCGCAAGGTTTTCCGCAGGAGAGGGTGCTGGGCCCAGCGCTCTGGCTGACCTAAACCCTAAACCCTAAACCCTGAACCCTGAGCCCTTTGTCCTAAACCCTAAACCCTAAACCCTAAACCCTAAACCCTAAACCCTAAACCCTAAACCCTAAACCCTAAACCCTAAACCCTAAACCCTGGCCCGCTTGTCGTGTGTTTTCTGAGCCCTGAGCCCTAGTCCCCAGAAGTAGAAATACAGGGGCGTATGATATTCTGCTCCGAGTTTGGGGGGGAAGGGTACCTCTTGTCTACGGTTTAGGGTTTAGGGTTTAGGGTTTAGGGTTTCCTAGAAGCCTTATTCTGGTAAACTAGCCCTGAACACTAGACCGTAAACGCTAAACCCTTATCTTGGAAAACCACCCAAATCTAGTTGAATGCGAGGACTTTTGAAGTTCCAGGTTGCGAAGTACCCAAAGATGACCTGGGTGCCTTGCAGTAGGTACAAACCCAGGGACTCCAAGACACCTTTATCAAGGAATATTCCTCAAAAGAGGGTTCCTAATATGGTTTAAGGCATATTCCAGAACTAAGCGGTGCTGGGGTCTCTGGGAAGTAGTATAAGTACCACTCGAAACGGTACTATCCTACATAGTAGCCCTAAACCCTAAACCCTAAACCCTAAACCCTAAACCCTAAACCCTAAACCCTAAACCGGGTTTTAGGAAGGCTCCTCCCCAGCTCAATTTGGAGAAGCCCTGCAACAGCGAAGCGTCTTTACGTACTCGTACTTTCAGTTCGCTGTCAGGCCTGGAGACCACGAACTGCTTAAGAACCCCCCCCCCCCCCCCCTTTTTTTTTTTTTTTTTGGGGGGGGGGGCTGATTCTTAAGCATTTTTTTTTTGGGTAGGGGGGGTTCTTAAGCAATTCGTAGGAAAGGTTCAGGGTTCAGGGTTTCAGGCTTCAGGGTCGAGAGCAAAGATGTTGTTTCTACACAGCACTTACCGCCACTCTGGCGTCCCTCGGTCTTAGACCTTCCAGTCGGCGAGCCTGACACGACCGCCCACACCCACATGCGCGCGCACGCACGCACACACAGCCGAAAAGCCTTAAACCCCGAAAAGCCCTAACCGCCCTAAACCCCCCCCCCCCCCCCCCCCCAAAAAAAAAAAAAAGGAAAAAAAATAAAAACCCTAAACACCCTGAATCCCTAAAAACCCTAAACACGCTAGATCCCATGCTGCGCCTTCCGACTGTTCATGAGAATGTCTCCTGGGCCAAGAAGTCCCCTCCCCCTACTACTGGTGTAAGGGTTAAGGGTTTGGGGTTTACTTGGGGGTTTCCGAAAATAGGGGTACCCTTCTGGGGCGGGGTTTTGTAATAAGAACTCTTCTATTTGGGGCTGTATTGAGGGTACACCTATTTGGGGAAATACCCACTTGCACTGAAGAGGGCGCCGGAGGTGTACTCCTTGAAGAGGGCCGAGGGTTTAGGGTTTAGGGTTTTGGGGCTCTCTAGGTAATGGACCCTCCAAAATTTGGAGCTAGCATGCTTGGCTGCGCGATCAAAGACGGGCTCACACGCTACTGTGAAGAAGCTACCGGAAGAGGGCAAGAAACCTCAACCCTAAACCCTAAACCCGAAACCCTAAACCCTAAACCCTAAACCCTAAGTTGACATCGAGGCTTTGCGCCCGTGGACATCATCACCACCACCACCATCATCATCCCTCTTCCTCCTCCTCCTCATCATCATCACCATCATTGACTTCACCAGGTAACATGTGCCCAACTCCGAAACAAACAAAACCCCTCTAAGCACGCACCAACCCCTCGATTAAAATGTGGATAACTCGTAGTAGGTGATTCGGGAACTCGGTTGCCCATATAAAGCACGCGAAGCGTCTCTGTTGGGGACTGCAACTGCAAGCCAGCAAACTCCCAGATTCCCTACGAAGAGCTGCGAAATGCCTCGCACATAAACCCTCAACCCCTAAACCCTAAAGTCTTTCATTCCGCAACTCCCTAAGAACTGGAGAAGCCCTAAACCCTAAACCCTAAACCCTAAACCCTAAACCCTAAACCCTAAACCCTAAACCCTAAACCCTAAACCCTAAACTCTACACCCTAAACCCTAAACCCTAAACCCTAAAACCCTAAACCCTAAACCCAAACGCGCTGAACAGACTTCACTTCTCCAAGGCACGGCATTGCTTCATCAGGCGATCCAGCTCCAGTGGCTTCGAGGAGCTACTCGCCTTGAAGACTCCTGGCTTCGAAAGTTTAGGGCTAGGGTGTAGGGTGTAGGGTGTAGGGTTTAGGGTTTAGGGTTTAGGGTTTAGGGTGTAGGGTGTAGGGTGTAGGGTGTAGGGTGTAGGGTTTAGGGTTTAGGGTTTAGGGTTTAGGGTTTAGGGTTTGGGGTTTGGGTTTTGGGGTTTGGGGTTTCGGGTTTAGGGTTTGGGGTTTCGGGTTTGGGGTTTAGCGTCTCAGGAAATTCAGAAATGTCAGGGGTTTAGGCTTAGGGCGTTAGGGTCTTGGGCCTTTCTTTCTCTCATTTAGGGACATTGAATTATGCCATGGGCCTACCCAGACATAACCCTAAACCGTAAACCCTAAACCCTAAACCCTACACCCTAAACCCTTAAAACCCTAAAAACCCTTTAGGGTTTGGGGTTTGTTTTAGGGAAGCACATCATCTAGTACTAAGACCAATCAGGGTTTAGGTCATGAGTTTAGGATTTAGGGTTGAGCATCATCTAATACCCTGTAGGGTTTAGGGTTTTGGGTTGAGGGTCATCCTCATCGAAAAGTAGCCGTTTCTCAGACTTTCTGCTAGTACCCACCGAGCCCTAAACCCTAAACCCTAAACCCTAAACCCTAAACCCTAAACCCTAAACCCTAAACCCTAAACCCTAAACCCTAAACCCTAAACCCTACCCCTTGAGCAAGGAATGCACCTTAAACTAGATAGGGCTCCTTCTTCTGACTTTTTGAGGTGCCCTCCTTGCCTAAAGGGTTTTCTGTGCGCTTGAGGATGTACTTGGTAGCCCAGTAACCACATTGCAATAAGGATGCTCTGTTGCCCAGAAGGGCAACAGGGCACCGCTGGGCTACCGAGGGTTTCTGTACCCTGAAGTAAAGAATAGAGCTTTCATCAGACTAAGCATCCCTACTTGGAGGTTCATGGGACTTAGAAACTACGTATAACTGGGCCTATAACCCTACTTATGATTGGGATCACCCCTCTCAGTCCATGTAAGGGGACTATAAGTACATAGTTTTAAGGTACTTTCTTTCATGTTAAGAGGATTTGGGCTTCTCCCTATAAGCCCTAGTTTGGGGATCTGTGGGCTTCAAGTGTCGGGTGGCCGTGTTTAGGGGTGAACCCGTGTGATGGTTTAGGGTTTAGCGTTTAGGGTTTAGGGTTTTAGGTTTGGGGTTGAAAGCCTTCGAATTGGGGATTCTACTTTCCACATCCTCGCAGGATACTGGGCAGCTTGCCCTAAACTAAACAGCCCAAAGCCCCTATAATCCTAAACCCTACGCCCGTAAACTTTTGCTAACCCTTTGTGGCAGCTTGTCCTTGACAGAACTCGTCCGTCTCCAGAGATCCCCCGCCGTCAAAGTCGAGCATCTCCTGAACTTTCGGCTACGAAGGCCTGCCCTCCCTCACACCCAGCATGAAAACATCTCAAGCCCTAAGCCTTGGGATGCTCCCCCTTACACTAACAGTACTCAATAGGGACTATACTCGGGGGCACTGCAATCCCAATTAAGGACTGTTAGTATAAGGGTGATTATCCGAACCTAAACCCTAAATTCCCCCAAAAGCAAGTACTCAGCACGTCTAGATTTTGCTTCAGCCCCCCCCCCCCCCCCCTCCCCTTCTCCCAAGCAGAACAAGAACGACTCGAAAAACGCGGTGCCTCTGGGGTCTCAGCTTCACCACCCTAAACCCTAGGCCCGAACCTAAACCCTAACCCTGAAGCAACCTGCGCAAAACTTTCGCCCAAAACTCCGGACATGAACCGTACACAGATTCTATTTCTATAAACCCCTGGCTTTGAAGGGGGGGCAGCTGTTGGGGGGGGCCTCGGATTCCTGACCTACAGCCTGATAAGCTGGGAAAAAAGGCCTGAACTCAACAGGAGCTCGCAGAGGTTTGGGTTTAGGGTTTAGGGTTTAGGGCTTAGGGCTTAGGGTTTTGGGTTTGGGAAGGGTCTAGGCACTTCGTTGAAATGAGGGCCCCTGCAGCCCCAATAATAAGCCCTAAACACTCCCCCAGATTCGGGCCGAGGCACGAAGAGAGTCTGGATGTCCTCAGTTCCCGCGATTTCGAAGAGGCTCTGCTTGACATCCTCAGCTTTCAGCAGCGGCTTGCTTGGAGCTTCATGGGTACTTGTAGCTTAGAAGTAGGGTTATAAGTGCCCGAAATAGGGTTACATAAGTGCCCTGAATAGGGTGCGAAGAAAAGATACCATAGGATGGCCCTTGCTCATAACTAAGCAGGAACCTCCAAGTAAGGGTTCAAGGTTTTAGGGCTCATGCCTGGTTGAGCCCAACACCTATGTGGCTGCTTGAAACCAGCAGCATTCCTGAACCAAGTACTCCCTAAACCCTACACCCCAAACCCTAAGCTCTTCATGTCAGGGCATGATCTGACTCGGTTCCGCACGTCACCGAGGAAACCCTCGGTGCTCGCTCTTTTTGTGGAGGGGTTTACGAGAAAACCTGGCCCTGAGCAAGCACGAAACGTGGGAAAGGGCACTGAGGAATCCCAAGGCCCCCAGAGCCCTGATGTGTAGGACCCCGAGGGCTAAGGACTGTGAATTTCCTCAACCCTACAAACCCTACAGACCCTACAGAGCCTATAAACCCTATAGACTATAGGCCCTGTGGACCCTGTAATTTCTATAAACCCGAAACCCCCTAAACCCTATAAACCATTCACAAAACCCTCTAAGACCCAACAAAAACCCTAAGCCCTGCAAAGCAGAGTTGACCAAGCCCTGCTCAGTCCCCCTAGACCCTAGACCCTAAACCCTAAACCCTAAACCCTAAACCCTGAACCCTAAACCCTAAACCCTATATCCTAGTATAAATCCTAAACCCTAAACCCTACACCCTAAACCCCCGCCTCCGGTGCGGCCATGATCTCGTCGAGGGTTACCTCGCCGGAGCCGTCTTCGTCCAGCCTTGGCTTAGGGTTTAGGGTTTAGGGTTGTGGGTTTAGCGTTTAGGGTTGAGGGTTCAGGGTTTAGGGTTTAAGGCTTAGAGACATGGGTAGTTTCCTTAATTGGGGGTCCCTTTGTGGGTACCCATTCAAAGGTGGGATCCCAGAAAGGGACCCTAACTTAGAGAGCTATCCACAGACTTAGGGGTCGTCGGACTTTTTTAAGGGGGGGGCTTATGGGGATGTGCGGGCTTTGTAGGGTTTGAAAGGTTTATGGCGCGCCTAAACCCTAAACCCGAAACCCTGAAGCCTAAACCCTTTGAACCCTAAACCCTAAACCCGAAACTCTAAGGGGGTTATGCGGTTTTTGGGATGGTGAGGTTCATGGGGTTTTGTCGGGCGTAGGGTGCGAATGGAATTTCGTAGCCTAGTTGTACCCCAAACATACTCTACGCTTATAGGACCAACCGAAAAGCTACAAAAGCTACCCAGAGACTCCAATACTCCTTAATTCAGCAAGGAAGATTCCTTAAACCATAAGGAAAACTCTTATACTTTGAGGAAGATTCCTTAATTAAGGGCTTCAAGTGCACTGCAGCTGCTGGAGCCGGAATGACGAGAGGCTCCTAGTCCCGGCAATCCTATAAATCTTCAACCCTCAACCCTCAAGCCTGAAAATCCTAATCCCCCAAACCCTACTTGGAGGTTCATGGGACTTAATAACCACTTATAACTGAGCTTATAACCCTACTTATAATAGGGCTAACCCCTATAAGGCCCTTTAGGGGTATTATAAGTCGGGTTATAAGTACAGTTATAAGTGGTTATTAAGTCCCATGAACCTCCAAGTAAGCCCAATTCCTCCCGTCTGAGTGGCTCCTCGAACATCAGCCGCAGCTGAGCCTGGCTCCCATTCAAATCATGGGATGGGAGAGCTGAGGGCCCTAAACCCTAAACCCTAAACCCTAAACCCTCAACCCTCAACCCTCAACCCTAAACCCTAAACCCTAAACCCTAAACCCTAGACCCTAAACCCTAAACCCTAAACTACCTTAAAACCCCAAAGCCCTAAACAAACCCGATGGGTTCTCCAATGAATGAAAGCAGTTCTCTGCCACCCTAAACCCTCAACCCTCGACCGCTAAAGGGATGTTTTGTGGGCCGAGTTGCTTCGACTCAGGGCTGGGTTCTAGGAACCGTGTTAAATACCTGCCTTGAACCACCCCCCCCCCCCCCCCCCCCCCCCCCCCCCCCCCCCCCCCCCCCCCCCCCCCCTCCCCCCCCTCCCACCCAAAACCCTAAACCCTAAACCCTCAACCCTCCTTCTGCCCGCAACTCTTGGCGGGAAGGCCATCTGCCGCTTCTTGCGGGCCTGCGCTCTGGGGCTTCTCAGCTGCGTTGGGGTTCTGGGTTTAAACGCTCTACACTATATTTTTGGTATATTTTTATGATATTATAAATTATACTATATTGTATTTTATGCTATATGATATTGAATTAAACTAGATCATATCATATTATATTATATTATATTATATTGTTATATATTATATGGGATTATTATTATTACTACTATTATTAGGACTATCATTATTACTATGATTATTGTTATTATTATTACTATTATTATTAATATTATGGCTACTATGATAATTACTAGTAAAATCATCAATATTGTTATTATCATCATTGTAATTATTATTATTATGATTATGATTATTATTATTGGTTTTGTTATTAATATTATTATGATTATTGTTAATTGCTTATCTTTGTTACATATATGTATATATATATATATTTATATTAATAGACCCTAAAGCCAAACCGCAACCACCCTAGGTTGGGGCTCAGGGAACTCTTGGAACTGAGTTCAGTTAAGGGATCCCCTGACTTGGGCCCTGTTGCTTAGTCAAGGGGCATTGGGCCCTCTGGGCTGCTTGTCCTGCTGTCGCAGATGCCCTCTTGTTTGACACCATCAACCCCACAAGCCTCTGCAGTAGCTGCGTGCGATCCCGGCCTGCTCATAAGTCTTCCGGACTTCCTTGTCCTCCTCGGCAATGGTCAGCGCCCCCTCGACCTGAGCGTCAGAGGGTCTCATGCCACGGCATTCGGCCCTGCGCCAAGTCATCTCTTGCCAGGGTTTAGGGTTTAGGGTTTGGGGTTTAGGGTTTGGGGTTTGGGGTTTAGGCTTCAGGGTTCACAATAAACCCAAAAAGGCTAAGGATCTAAAGTTACAGTAAAGCACCACAGAGATCTGATGCGAGGCGCCATGATGGCTGTCACGAGGTTCATCAGGGCAATGGACAGAACCAGCAGAACCTCGGACAGCTGAGCTACGCACCAGTGGAGTTTCTTGGACATCCAGCTCGGTTTAGGGTTTAGGGTTTAGGGTTTAAGGTTTAGGGTTTAGGGTTTAGGGTTTAGGGTTTAGGGCAAAAACCACCGGAACTCTTGCAGCTTTTCTTCGGGCTTTTTGTTGAAGGAGCAAGCTCCCAAAGATCCTCAAGGCCTGTGTCAGCCTGGGAGCAGTCATGAAGTAGAAGGGTTTAGGGTTTAGGGTTTAGGGTTTGAAAGCCTGTGTCAGCCTGGGAGCTGTCATGAAGTAGAAGAAGAGCAAAGGGCGTTGCCGGATCAGGGGCCGGTAGATGCTGGCTATGCCTGCAGCATCGTGCTTTGCTGGAGATGGCTCAGACTTCTATGCGTTTCCATAGGGTTTAGGGTTTAGGGTTTAGGGTTTAGGGTTTAGGGTTTAGGGTTTACGGCTAGGGTTTAGGGGGACCTGGGCTTCTCTTTTAAGGGGGTTTAGAAGGGAACCTCGACCCTGAAGCAAGGGAAGAAGGGCATCACTGCTTCAAGTGGCTGTTTCACTCCACCCCCCCCCCCCCCCCCCCCCCCCCCCACCCCCACTTGTCTGAAGCCGAAGCAAAATCCCAAGCCCATTTCATTGGAGGGCGAAACAGATCAGATGAGCCATGGGCGATCTCAAGCTATAGGATTGACAAGTATCACACGTCTGAGCAGTTGAGGATACCTCACCAGAATCAATCGACGCCCCAGCCCCAAGCCAGAAGAGGCAGGCGGCTGTCGAAGGTAAAGAGCTGCATGAGCGTAAACATGGCATCATCCAGAGCGCCGAAGTTCTCAAGCACCTGAGGGGCCACAAGCCAGGATGGTCCTTAAACCCCTCTGAAAAAATGGTCCTAAACAAGATCCTCCTCAACCTAGGAAGGAAAAAATACTGTGTGAAGCCCTGAAAAAAGTAGCCCCTAAACCCTAAACCCTAAACCCTAAACCCTAAACCCTAAACCCTAAACCCTAAACCCTAAACCCTAAACCCTAAACCCTAAACCCTAAACCCGAAAACGCCCCCAAAAGCCCGAGCTCCAGGCCGCGATGTTGTAGGGGTGGTCCGGAGGCAGCGCCAGGTCGTAGGTAATCATGTCCATCCTCAGCTTCTCTGGGGTTTAGGGTTTAGGGTTTAGGGTTTGGGGTTTAGGGTTTAGGGCTTTGAAGGGATTCTAGGGCTCTTCGGGGTCTTTAGAGGCTCAGGTTCTCGAGCGGGAGGGGGGGGGGGTCACTAAGTAAGACCCTAAACCCTAAACCCTAAACCCTAAACCCTAAACACTAGACCCTAGACCCTAGACCCTAAACCCTAAACCCCACCTGGTGCCTACTTACCAAGTAGGGGGACAAGTTGGCTGCTCTCAGGTCCCGGCCCGAAGAGCGCTGCGATGTAGGAAAGTATGCCTTCAGTTGGGTTTAGGGTTTAGGGTTTAGGGTTTAGGGTTTAGGGTTTAGGGTTTAGGGTTTAGGGCTTAGGGCTTTAGGGCTTTAGGGCTTAGGGTTTAGGGCTTGGGGTTTAGGGTTTAGGGTTGAGCGTTTAGGGTTTTGCTATTGGGGATTCGGGAAGGGGGTAGTTTCCAAAAACCCCAGGGATAGGGTGCTCGCGATTTGGGATTTGGGAAGGGCTCGTTTTCAAAATTCAAGGGGGCGAGGTGCTTGCGATTTGCTATCTGGGAAACGAAGTTGTTCCAAAACCCAAGGGGCAACGTGCTTGCGATTTTGCTATTTGGAAAAGGAACTTGTTCCAAGTCTAGATGGGCCCAGTGCTTGCCATTTGGGATTTGGAACGGGAAGATTTCAAGGTTGCTCGCGATTCATCTGGCAAGGTTTTTCCAACAAAGTCTTAGGGACACGGTGCTGCGATTTGCTACTTCGGAGAGGAATTTGTTCCACAAACCTCAGGGACAGAGCGCTTTGCGATTTGGGATTTGGAAAGGGGCAGTTTTCGAATTCAAGGGGACGCGGCGCTTGCGATTTGGGATTTGGGAAGGGGTAGTTTCTTCAAGGGGCCCCGGTGCTTGCGCTTTGCTATTTGTGAAAGGAAATTTGTTCCAAAAACCTGAAGGACACCCTACGTGCGTTTAGGATTTATGGTTTAGAGAAACCTGCCCACATGCTAGGCAAGGGGCTGATCAATAGGAAGGTCCAGAAGAGCGTGTTGGCCTGGACAGGTTCGGACAGCCCTTAGGGTTTAGGGTTCAGGGTTTAGGGTCGAACCCTGAATAGGGCTTTAGGGATTAGGGCTTAGGGTCCAGGATCCCTCTGTGTGAGGGAATCACCTTAAACTATTTGGGAGTTGCTGAGATTAGGAGTACCTTCTTGGGATCCTTGTTTTCAGGGATCCTACTATTTTTGTAAAAGGCCCCTTATACTCGTAACACTCCATACAGGGTGCCTCATGGGTGATAGGCTAGGGATGGCCCTTGAACCCTCAGAAAAAAAACATTCCTGAATATGATCCTATCAAACCTCAAAAAGGGTTTCGGGTTTAGGGTATAAGGGAAAACTATCGAATGTCCCAAGGGCCTACCGAGTAGGATTCCTATCGACATTCGCGGGGGGCTACAAGAACTTTTTTGGGAGTCTCTGGGAATTCTTTGGGGCTGAATGCCCTAGCCAAGAAAAGGTTCTCCCTTTATTTGTAGCAGCATTCTATATAACCCAAAAAGGGTAAAGGCTACCTTCCCAGTCCCTAAGCATTTCTTGGCGCCGGACGCAGGACATGAGGCCAGAGACCAGCTTCCACAGAGTTTGGAACTGGACCACCAGTCGCACCAAACCTCGGTGGCTGTAGGTCCCTAAACAAATCCACCCCCCTAAAAAAACCACAAAACAGATGAAATGAGTTTTTTTGCTTCGAACATCCCCACCCTCTCTTGGCAGAGGTACTCTGGGCGTGGGCACTCCAGGGACACTCTGGGGCCGGGACACTCTGGGGTTGGGCACTCCAGGGAGACTCTGGGGTTGGGCACTCTAGAGTTGGGCACTCCAGGGACACTTTGGGGTTGGGCACTCCAGGGATGAGCGAGGAGTAGACCGGGCGAGGAGAAGAGTTCCGGGCGAGGATAAGAGTTGAGTTTAAAATCTAACAACCCCACACCGAGGGTGGGGAGAAATAAAAAAGGGACACCTAACCCTAAACCGTAAACCCTAAACCCTAAACCCTGAACCCTGAACCCTGAACCCTGAACCCTGAACCCTGAACCCTAAACCCTAAACCCTAAACCCTAAACCCTAAACCCTAAACCCTAAACCCTAAATAAATGGAGCGGCCACTCTCGAAGGGTGCTTCGGTGGCCGAACAATACCCGCAGAATGTCTTGGCTTCTACATGGGGTTTAGGGTTTAGGGTTTAGGGTTTAGGGTTTAGGGTTTAGGGTTTAGGGTTTAGGGTTTAGGATCTTTTCAGCACCTGGGCCCTCAAGCTTGGATGTAGGGTTCAGGGTTTAGGGTCTTGGGCCCTCAAACTTCTACCCGCAGAGCCCCATACCCTCTGGGTACGGAACAGACCTCAAATCAAAATAAACCCTAAACCCTAAACCCTAAACCCTAAAACCTAAACCCTGATCCCTCTGCAGCTTGAGATCGATCCTTTTGCGGTAAGCATGAAGCCGAAACCTTAAACCCGAGTTCAACCCTGAGTCGAAGCCACAAACGCTGGAGTCCCGCAAGCTGTAGAATGGCTTGGTTCTGATGGGTTCTCTAAGCTATATAGGGTTTCGGGCCAGGGGCGTCACAACCCTAAGCCCTACACTCTGAACCCCGAAATCCTAAACCCCCAGTCCCTAAACCCCTAAACTCCAGCATTTGGGAGAGCGGCGAGCCAGTCGGGCCAGGCGTAGCAGCCGAACCAGCCTTGATGGCAAAATGATTCGAAGCTCGAAGGCCTTCTGCCCTCAGACCCCCCTTATAACCCTGGTTCTTAGTAGGGAATGGGGGGGAATGAGGTAACCTATACCATCACTTAAAGGGTATATATAGGGGGATATAGGGTATCTCATTCCCTCATTCCCTACTAAGAACCAGCCAGTTATAGCCCTCAACTCTGCAGAAGATTCTGGGGCCCTACATTCAAACAAGTCTGAGATCACCTGCCCTAAGCCCTAAACCCAAATCCCTAAGCCCCAAAACCCTAAAACGTCAAACCCTAAAACCCTAAAACCCTAGAACCCTCAAACCCTCAAACCCTCAAACCCTCAAACTCTCAAACCCTCAGACCCTCAAACCCTCAAACTCTCAAACCCTCAGACCCTCAAACCATCCCACCTGTCAGTCTTGCTCATGAATCCGCCTTGGAGACCCGGTTAACGCCTGGTCTGGACCGCACAACCCCGGGTTAAAACCTTAAACCCTAAACCCTAAACCCTAAACCCTAAACCCTAAACCCTAAACCCTACCACCCCCCCCGTCTGAAGTGCACCCCCCTTCTCTGTCGAGCGGCATGACCTGCTTCAAGAACTCTGCGTCCAGAGCTGTCCTTGAGTACGGGTGGCAGGCGCAGGACGCATTCCCAAAGAGCCCAGCTCCCGTGAATCGAGTAGTATTGCGCGTGGGATTCCTCCACAGTTTCTGGAATACTCCTTCAAGAATATATTATCGGGCTTCCTGGGCTGATGGTTCACGATATGCCTTGCGAGACTGCTGATGGTTGTGGCTCATCCGCTTAACTGCAGGCCCTCCCCCTTTGTGCTGCGCGGATGTGTGCCAAAAAACAACCATCCACACCCTGACCCCCGGTAGATGCCAACTAGGAAGCGCGCAAGACAGGCACGTGTGTGCATAACCATACATGCAGTGTTAGACTCAACTGTTAGACAGCCTTCTAGCACCAACTTTATAGGGTTCTTGAGGGAGGCGGGTTCATGGGGGGGGGGGGGGTAGGTACCTCGGGAACCTAAGGGAAGCTCAGGGAGGCTTAGGGAGTAGTGGGGAGTAGTGGGCAACCTTGGTTACATAATTTTCTTGAACCCCCTCCCCCTCTCCCTAAGCCCTAAGCCCTAAGCCCTAAGCCCTGAGCCCTAAGCCCTAAGCCCTCAGCCCTAAGCCCTAAGCCCTCAGCCCTCAGCCCTCAGCCCTAAGCCCTAAGCCCTAAGCCCTAAACCCTAAGCCCTACGCCCTAGCCCTAAACCCTACCTCAACCCTAAACCCTAAACCCTAAACCCTAAACCCTAAACCCTAAACCCTAAACCCTAAACCCTAAACCCTAAACCCTAAACCCTAAACCCCTCCCTTTAGAACCCTCGAAGAGCTGCGTGCAAGGCGTCGTTTTCAGGACCAAGTCGACGGTGGCTGTTGCCACCAGAAAAAGGTCGAACTTCACCCAGTGACTTTTGATGGCGCCTGCGTGTGGTTCAGGGCATGCTTGGGGTTTAGGGTTTAGGGTTTAGGGTTTGGGGTTTGGGGTTTGGGGTTTGGGGTTTGGGGTTTGGGGTTTGGGGTTTGGGGTTTAGGGTTTAGGGTTTAGGGTTTAGGGTTTGGGGTTTGGGGTTCACGGGCTCCCCCCCCCCCTCCCCAATCGTGCCTTAAGGTTGATAGATCAGAGTTCGACAAAGCGTCTATATGGTTTTGAGGTTTTTAATGGTCTTTGTGGGTGCCTTCCAGCCCGAAATCCACAAGCCTGAAGCCTGGTCTCCCCCAAACCCTAAATGTAAAATCCTGGAACCTAAGCCTAGCTAAACTCCAAACACCATAACTCCAAAAACCCTCAACCGCCCAAACGCCTAAGGCCAGAACTTCACAAGCCAAAGCCCCCCAAAACCAAAACCCTAAATGCCCTGAAAACACCCAATGACATCTAAGCTCTAACCCTAGTAAACCCTAAACCCTAAACCCTAAACCCGAAACCCTAAACCCGAAACCCGAAACCCTAAACACTAAACCCGACACCCCTGAACCGCTGCGGTCCAGGATGCGGGGTCCAAACGCCAGGAACCGCAGGAGGAGCTCGGCGATGTAGATGCCGTAGCAGATATTATCCTCACAGGGTTTAGGATTTAGGGTTTAGGGTTGAGGGTGTAGGGTTTATATAGCATTTAGGGTTTAAGGTTTAGGGGGAGTGGTCCCATTAGAGGCTTTGTGGGGCTCAGGGTTTCGGGTACAGGGTTTAGGGCTACATGGTCCCTTAGTTGTATAGGGTATATAATAAGGGGTATGTAAGGGGTCCCCTGTTGCGGGCCCATTTTGGGATTCAGGGATTCAGGGTTTCAGGGTTGCAGCAAAGTGATCAACCTGAAACCCTAAACCCTGATTCCTGAACACCCCCAGCTTGAAGCTTAAACCCTAAATGCTTCACCCCAAGACCGAAACCCCCTACACCCTAAGCCCGAAACCCCCTAAACCCAAACCCCCTAAACCTCCTGAACCCCCTAAACTCCCTGAACCCCGCAAACCCCCTGAACCCCCTGAACCCCCGAAACCTCTAAACCCCCTAAACCCCCCCTAACCCCCCCTTAACCCTAAACCCTAAACCCTAAACCCTAAGCCCTAAGCCCTAAGCCCCAAGCCCCAAGCCCCAAGCCCCAAGCCCCAAGCCCCAAGCCCTAAGCCCTAAGCCGCCGTAAGGCGCCGAGGCGCGAGGTAACCAACCCAGGGCGCCGTGACCTGACAAACCTGGGAGGAGGTGGGCTTTACATTTCGGGTTTTGGGGTTTTAGTAGGGTTTAGGGTTTAGGGTTTAGGGCTTAGGGCTTAGGGTTTGGGGTTCAGGGTTCAGGGTTCAGAGTTTATGGCGGTTTAGGGGTTCAGGGTTCTGGGGGTGGGGGGGGGGGGGCTTAGGGCCAACACTTGTTGTTTTAAGGGTTTTGGGGTCTCAGGGTTAAGGGTTTTTGGGGTGCTTGGGTTTAGGCTTTTGGTTTGTGGCCCAGAAATTTTAACCATAATGATACTAAGCTGGGAACGTCCTTATCAGGTGGCAAGTGGCGTGTTTAAACACACCGAAATACTCCTGAACCCCCTAAACCCCCTAAGCCCCCAAAGCCCCCAAAGCCCCCTAAACCCTAAACCCTAAACCCTAAGCCCTTAAAACGTCCAAAAGACCTCAGTCTGGCTGCGCAATCTCCCGCCCATTCTAGCGCCTAGGCGCAGCCCAAAGAGCCCCAACTCTTTTTGAATCAAGGAAGACCCAAAAGTAACCTAGGCGGACAATGGGTTTAGGGCTTAGGGTTTAGGGCTTCTAGGCCCAAGAGTAACCCAGGAAAAAAAAGGACACCTTTTTGGTTTAAAGAGGCTTACAAGGGAACCCAGGCCTTATAAAAACATGGAATCAGGGCCTGCTCTGGGTCCTAGAATATACCTGAAATTCATGATGGGTAGTTCTCTATTCATGATGATCCCTAGAGCTTCAGGTACATTCCTTAGCACATACTTTTGGGCTCTCTGGTAGCGACTGGGTTCTAGGTACCCTAAACCCTAAACCATAAACCCTAAAACATAAACCCTAAAACCCTAAACCCTAAAACCCTAAACCCCTAAACCCATGGGTTCAACCAATGCCGGGGGAGCCGTGCCCGGATTCGGGCAGTCGTTGCAGTTCTCATCGCAGCCGATGGGGATTTGAGCCTTTGCCTGGGTGTCGAAACCTCGGTTTAGGATTTAGGGTTTAGGGTTTGGGGTTTGGGGTTTAGGGGTGTGGGGTTTGGGGCTCAGGGTTTAGGGTTTGGGGTGTGGGGTTCAGGGTTGTGCAGAACTCACGGGGACTGCCAGGAAGATCTAAGGGACCGGGCTGGGCAAGCTTTTGGGCTACCACCAGAGTGTGGCTCACAGGTTTAGGGTTTAGGGTTTCGGGTTTAGGGTTTAGGGTTTAGGGTTTCGGGTTTAGGGCGAGCTTCGTTCAAAAGCAACATCGTCCCCCCTCTCTCTCGGTCTCTTTCGGGAAGATCGCAATGTTACCTGGACCAGACCGCGCGGCCAATCGTCATCCCGTTCAGCAAGATGACAATGCCGATGAGGGAATCGAAGCCTTACGCACGCAAGGAAGCTCAGGAAAAACAGCAGAGTGAGGCTAAACCCTAAACCCTAAACCCTAAACCCTAAACCCTAAACCCTAAACCCTAAACCCTAAACCCTAAACCCTAAACCCTAAACCCTAAACCCTAAACCCTAAGTGCATCACTGGAGAATTCAGACAGCAGCTCGCACTTCCCCAAACCCTGCAAATGCAAAGCGCATGCTTCACGCGAGAAGACGGCAACATCCTGGCACACACGCGTAGGATTTAGGGTTTAGGGTTTAGGGTTTAGGGTTTAGGATTTAGGATTTAGGGTTTAGGGTAGTTCAAACAATGCCTAGTTCTGCCAACGTGACCTGGCCAACGCACGATGGCGAAGAAGGGCTTCCTCCAGCAAGACAGCCTTCGGGCATGCTTTGACTTAGGGCGATAAGGTTTTAAGAGGGTTTTGGGTTTAGGGTTTAGGTTGAGGTTTGTAGGAGAATTATGTCAGAAGGTCCCGACATAGTCCCTGAAGAAAACTCTCCGTCCCTAGGCTCCCAAGTCCTTACTTCCAATCTAAGAACCAGTGAAGAGAAGTAGCGGGGCTTAGGGTGAGGGATTAGGGTTTAGGGTTTGGGGTTTGGGGTTTGGGGTTTGGGGACGCATCCGTGCCCCCTCCCCTTCCATTCCAAAAAAATAGGGGTTGCCCTAGTCCAGTCTCTCCCTGAGTCCTAGAGGCTAGGATTTAGAGGTTAGGGCTAAGCCCCCGAAACCCCTAAACCCAACCGCTGAATCCTAAACCTCTGAAACCCCAGGGCTCATCTCATCTCAGGAGCTGGTCTGGATCGAAGCTTTGTGACAGCGTGCGGCGGAGGTGTGCTGCCTCAGATGGGGGCGTGGGTGGGTTTAGGGTTTGAGGGTTTTAGGGTTTAGGGCTTTAGGGTTTAGGGCTTTAGGGCTTTAGGGTTTTAGGGTTTTAGGGCTTTGGGGTTTTAGGGTTTTAGGGTCTAGGGTTCAGGGTTGGCTGTTTTCAATCAGGGTTCAGGAGATTCAGGGTTGAGGGATAACTACCCTTGGAGAACCCAAGACTCCACATGCCCCTAAGCCCTCAAGGTCTAAGGTTTTGGGTTTAGGGTTCAGGGTTTAGGGTTTGGGATTAGGGTTTAGGTTTCAGGGCACTTGGAGGTTCAAGGGTAGTTATAAGCAGGGTTAAACAATGCCCTAAATCGGGCTACAAGCACATTCTCCATACTAAGAGCCCTATCGCCAGTACTTGTAGCCATGCACCTCTAAGTATCCGAAAACAAGTGCCGCATTTTAGGTTTAGGGTTCAGGTTTAGGGTTAGGCTCCCAAAACCTCAAGTGCGAGCTGCTTTGGCACCAAAGTTGTCCGTGACGTGAACTCCAGCGGCCTGACGCGGAGTTCCCAGCTTGGGTTCGCCAGGGTGTAGGTTCATAAGGGTTCAGATTTAGGGTTCAGGGTTTAGGGTTTACGGTTTAGAAGGGTTCAGGGTTTATAGGGTTGCCGGGTTTAATTTTCCAGGAAGTAGAAAGTCATTTTCGCCCCAAGCCACCACCCACCGCAAACTGAAAACTACTGAGTCAGCCAGGGTGTCGCGATCGCCCGGACACATGCATAAGCGATCGTGGTGCCACGCACTACGAAGAAAACATACTTTTTTGACTTTATTCCGGGGGCCCCTACTAAACCGGGTGCAACGTTAGCAGGGTTATATGGTTCAGGGTTTACAGTGTCTACAGGGTTGATGGGGTTGGGGCTTTTAAAAGAGTTAGGTCTAACCCACAAAGAGCACCAGGGTCCCTGGGCAACGGATTTAGGGTTTAGGGTTTAGGGTTCAGGGTCACACAGAACCCAATTTCCCTACCACTGCAAGAGAGGTCCAAAACCCCAAACCCCAAAACCAAACCCCGAAGCACCCCACCTATAAACCCCCCAAACCCCTAAACGCCCCAAACACACTACCCCAAAACCCCAAACCTCAAAACTTTGAAGCCCCAAACCCCATAACCCGACACCACTAAACCCCAACAAAAAACCCAACCCCCAAAACTCGAGAAACCCCAAACCCCAACCCCAAAACCCGAAAACCAACCTAAACTCCCAAACCCCTAAACCCCAAAACCCCGAAACCCACAAACCCCAAAACCCCGAAACCCTAAAACCCTTCACCCCGAAAACCCAAAACCCAAAACCTGCGCCCAGAGAGCCCGCAAACCCCTTTCATACAAGGAAAATACGTTACCCAGAGAGCCCGCAAACCCCTTTTATACAAGGAATATACGTTAAACCATAAGGATCCGTAGTATGGTTTGAGGGGCATTCCTGAATTAAGGGGATTTTTGGGCTCACTGGGAATATTATCCAAAACCGTAAGCCCCAACCACCCTAAACTATACTCCACTTAGAGCCTTAGTCAAAATACACATTCTTTGAAAATATTTTCTTGGGTGTTATATGAAAAATAAGCATAATTCCTAAGTGGGTTGTAGTAGACCAAACACCTTCAGGCCATGCAAACCCTAAACCCTAAATACATCACAACGCATGCTTTCGGGAATCTCCGACTCCGTTTTTGGCTGTCCGGGGGGGTTTCTAAAAGGGTTTTTAGGCTTTATGGGGTTAGGGGGTTTAGGGCGTGTTTAGGGTTTAGGGTTTAGGGTTTGGGGTTTAGGGTTTAGGGTTTAGGGTTTAGGGTTTAGAGTTTAGGGCCAGAACCGCTTTGGATGCTCTGGCAGGCTGAGAGCACGAAGAGACTCCAATGACCCTTCATTCAGGAAGATTCCCTAAAATATGATAGCTTTCCTTTATGTGGTTTAAGGATATTCCATAACTAATCCTCAATTAAGGAATACTCCTTAAATATGATAGGTTTCCATATGTGGTTTAAGGAATGCTCCTTTCTTGTGGGGGGCATTGGTGTCTCTGGGTGTCGTTCTCGCGCGCCTTCTCGTCAAGGAGCGCGTCGTCGATCATCTGCAGCAAGGTGGAGGCAGATGGTGGGGCCAGTTTGCGTTGTGAAGGGTTTAGGGTTTAGGGTTTAGGGTTTAGGGTTTAGGGTTTAGGGTTTGGGGTTTATTCTGAAGGGGTGCAAAGCGGGTGAGGCATCTGGTGGATTCGTGGCCGGCATGCATGCGCTTTCCCTAAGTTTAGGATGTAGAGCCTCTTCGTAGGGTTTCAAGCAATCTTTTGCTCGGCTTCGGGGGAAGTTTAGGACCCTAAACCCTAAGCCCTAAACCCTAAACCCTAAACCCCAAACCCTAAATCCTAAACAAGTCTTGGACTGGAGCCCTCATCCCTTATTTCACATGCATGTATATGTATATATATGTATATATATATATACATACTATACATATACATATAGTCACTTCGATAAAATATGGTCCCTTTTGGGAAATGAGAACTCACCATGTGTATGCATATATATATATACACATCTTTTTGATACATACACCTACACCCACACACCTGAAAGCTCCTGTAATTCAACGGGCTTGTGAAAAGAATTACCCTACCCCCCCCCCCCCCCCCCCCCCCCCCCCCCCCCCCCCCCCCCCCTAGAAGCAAACCCTGAACTCTAAAGCCTAAAGCCTAAAGCCTAAAGCGTAAAGCCTAAAGCCTGAAGCCTAAAGCCTAAAGCGTAATCCCTAATCCCTAAACCCGAAACCCTTAACCCGAACAGACTCCTTAGTTTTTGGATGAGGAGAAGGGGAGAAAAAGAGAGCGATTTGGGCCACCCTGACCTCTGGGAGGATCCAAAACTTAGTCTTAGTTGCTGAGTTCATATGCCCCAAAAGTGTACACTTTCAGTTCTATAGGGGGTGATAGTATCCCAAAAAGCGTAAAGTACTCAGCTACTCAGAAAAAGTAGAACACCCAAATAGTACCCTGTACTACTACTGGGCCATTCTTAGGAGCCCTTCAGGGGATTTACTTTTCGGATACCAAGGCGTCTCGGAAGTGATCTCTCAACCCTAAACCCTAAACCCTCAATCCTAAACCCTAAACCCTAAACCCAGCCTTCTCAGTAATCCGACGCGATAGTCCGTTGCTGCGGGTTGTCCTGGTGGTTCTCCTTGCGCAGTGGCGGCCATCGGCTTCAGAAACAGACATGAGTCCCAAACCCTAGACCCTAAACCCTGAACCCTAAACCCTAAACCTCAAACCCCAACCCCTAAACCCGAAACCCTGAACCTAAACCCTAAACCGGTTCGAAGGGGCTGCAAGTTATAAGCAGGGTTCATGCAAAAGTGAAGTACCCTAAGCCCAAGCCTAAACTACTTATTGTTCAAGAACCCCGAAAAATAAAACTATTCTTCGCTACTAATTAAGGGCAATGTTCGGCCCTAAACCGTAAAGCCTAAACCCTAAACCCTCAACCCTAAACCCTAAACCCTAAACCCCAAACCCTAAACCCTAAACCCTAAACCCCAAGCCCTAACACAGACTGCCAGCTCCTGGTCGCTGTGGTTGCAGTCTTTGCCACTTCCACCGCATGGTCATGCTCATGCTCGGAGGAGCCGCTGAACCTTTAGGGTTTAGGGTTTAGGGTTTGGGGTTTAGGGTATAGGGTTTAGGGCTTAGGGTTTAGGGTTTAGGCTTACACCGACATCTTTGCTGTTAAATCACTTCTCCCCTACTTAGAAGCCCTCTTGACTTAGTAAGCAGGGATAGTAAGTTGGGCTATGCGAACTGTTCAAGGGTGTCTTGGGGATGCGAAGGTAGACTTGCTAGTTCAAAAAGGCTTCCAAGCAAGGGTGTCATACCTTGTTGTAGGAGCAAGTAAATATTGAATTCCCCCCCCCCCCCCCCCAGATTGAACTTGTTTTTCGGCTTAACAGGGTTTCTAAGGGAACCTGGCACTTCAAAAAAAGGAAGACGGGCACTTAATCTAGTGAAGATTGCAAGCACGTCTCTTCAATGCAGATGCATGGATGTCCTTTATCTTGGGGAAGCTTCATGGTTCCTAAACATGGGCCCTTAAAGGGGGGCCCCTTACATATAAAACCCTATACAACCCAAGGGCCCATACTTCAGAAGCCTTGAAAGAAGGTAAGGGACCGTGCTATTTGGGGAGTGTACGGATTCCAATAGGGCTTGTTGGGAAGGCCTTTTGACTCAGTGATTTGGGTTATGCGGGTTGTTTCTAAGGGATACTATGTAGACTTACTAAGTCCAAAGAGCTTTCCAAGTAGGGGGGGGGGTTTAGGATTATGTCCTAGGGGCACTGAAAAGGTTGCTTCTGCACTATGTTTGCGTGAGTCCGAGCACACGGTGCTGCTGGGTTCCTATATAGTCGGCGTGCGGTCTCTTGCAACCTGTTTCCAGCAGCACCCGGCGATGAGCGTGGTGATTGTGAAGCTGGCCTTTTGGACGACAAGATAGTCGCCGTAAACCACAAACCCAAGACCCCTCATCGCCGTATGCCCCTGAGAGCCCGATACCCTTTCACGAGCGAAGATGTCTCAACCTTGGTAGATTGGGATGTTCCCCTTTATACTAACAGTCCTTCGTCGGGATTACTATAATCCCTATGCAGGACTGTTCGTATAAGGGGGATCATCCCAATTTTTAGGCCCCTTGAAAGAGTTGGAAAGTAAGCTCTCCGTCTCCTAGGCTCGGGGCGCGCGCTCGCGCGTGAACGAGGTCTGCTCCGTGGAGGTGTCCTGACACACAGAAGCAACCTTCAAGGTTCATGGCCAACAGCCGTGCAGTGTCACACACACACCTAAACCCATCCCCCTGGTTCTTCGTAGGGAGTGAGGGACTGAGGGCCTATATCCCTAAACCCTAAACCCTAAACCCTAAACCCTAAACCCTAAACCCTAAACCCTAAACCCTAAACCCTAAACCCTAAACCCTAAACCCTAAACCTCAGCTCTATACAGCCTGAAACGAGCCACCTGGATATTGAAGCTGGTCTGGGAACTGGGCCATGCGATTTCCCAGACCCCTGGAGGATCCCAAGAAGTAGATTTTCTGGGGCTCCCACTAAGAATGACACAATAGTAGAAAAGCGCCCAGAGAGCCCAAAACCCCTTGATTAAGCAATATTGCTTAAAACATATAGGGATCCTGAGTATGATTTAAGGAATATTCCTTAATTAAGGGGTATTGGGCTCTGTGGGGGTACTATTTGGGGGCTCTACTTTTGGGATCCTCCCAAGGGTCTGGAACAAGTCTCCGCATAAAAGCAATCCCTCCACTACCCCTCAACCCTAAACCCTAAACCCCAAAAACCCCAAAAACCCCAAAAACCCCAAAAACCCCAAAAACCCCAAAAACCCCAAAAACCCGAAAAACCCCAAAAACCCCAAAAACCGCGCCAATCAACCTTACCGCTGTCCTGCGAGTCGAACTTTGGCAGGTGCGGCATTGTGTTCAGAGCTGGGGCCCCTGGTGCCCCCCCCTGGAAGTGCGATGTAAGGTTTTAAAGGCTTTCGGGTTTAGGGTTTAGGCTTTCGGGTTTAGGGTTTAGGGTTTTGGGTCTTAGGGTTTGGTGTTTTGACATGTGCGTTTTTATGTTAAACTATTCTGCTGACTTGCAGAAAAGAAGTGTGGGTTCAGGCAAGAGGTCTATGGTATTCATGCGTGCGCGTGGCGGTCCGCACTTTGATGCAGTATCCTGCTTGTGATCCGGCTTTCAGGCCAGGTCATGCGACTTGCTGGGAACTTGTTGGAACTACACGCAACTGTCCGCGTGAGCCGATACGGCCAAGCAAATCAAAGAGCTTCTGAACGAATAAACCATCGAAGTTCAGGGATTTCAAGGGAGGCCCATGCCCTGAACCCGCGATTACGCCCTGAGCCCTACAGACCCGAAGCGCCATGGACCCTTAAGCCCTAAAAACCTGGTTACCCCAACGCCAAGCATGCCAAGACCCCCAAGCCCTACCAACCCTGAAGCCCTGAGCCCTAAAGACGAGACCCCAAGCCCAAATATACACTAAACCCTAAACCCTAAACCCTAAACCCTAAACCCTAAACCCTAAACCCTAAACCCTAAACCCTAAACCCTAAACCCTAAACCCTAAACCCTAAACCCTAAACCCTAAAACCCCAACACTCTGAACTTCCTAAGCCCCTCAGACCCTAAGACCCTCACAGCCCCAATTTAATCCCAAACTAGGGCCCTTGACTTGGTTTAACAAAAACCCTAAACCCTAGACCCTGCAGTTTTAAACCCTAAACCCTGAACCCTAAACCCGAAACCCTAAACTTCCTGAGGCTTAAAGCTCCTACACGCGACAGAGACCCTTAGAAACAAAAGGGGCTTCAGGGCTCCCAGCGTAGCCACAGGAAGTCCTTGGACAGTGCGTTTCGGCTCCCTCTCAGAAGGGCCGTTTTAGGGTTTGCTGTTTTGGGTTTAGGGTTTAGGGTGTAGGGTTTAGGGTTTAGGCTTAGAGGGTTGCGGGTTTTGGGTTTTGAGATTTTGGGGTTGAGGGTTTTGAGGGTTTAGGGTTGAGGGTTTGGGGTTTTGACTGTTGAGGGGTTAGGGTTGGGGTTTTGAGGGCTTGGGGCCCTCTCTGTTCATAAACCCACCTGCCTACCTTATAAAACAGTTATATTTATCTGTACATCTGTCAAGGCCCTGCGATGTAGTTATAAATGAAGAAGTAACTTTTTTACACACACACACACACAACTGCATATTCATGTAGGTACATGTGGAGAACAAGAGATAACGTAGATATGGGCTCACACCACAACACCTCCTCCACCCCCTCGCTCTCCCCTGCCTTCCCCTTCTCGCCTCCCCTGAAATAGGCACTTACCAGCATGGGCCATTAGACCTTATAATCCCCAACCCTATAAGGGGCCTTTTAAGGTGTTATAGGGTATAATAGCCCATGCAGGTAGGAACTGAAAAAGTCTGAAATAGGATCCTCTTTAACCAAAGTAATGCAAGATGCACAAAACCCATGAACCTCGAAGCAAGACCCCGCAAGCAAGAACAAACCGACCGCTTGGACAACGGCCCTGGCGTAGCTGCCATTCCCGGGGGAGCTGTCCTGTGGCTTGGTTTTTGTCTTGGGGGCTTCGGGTTTTAGGGCGTAATCAGGGTTTTCGGGGCTTAGGGCTTTCGGGGCTTAGAGCTTTCGTGGCTTAGGGGTTGCGTGGTTTAGGGTTGGCGGTTTAGGGGTTTCATGATTTAGGGGTTGAGGGTTAACCCCGAAACCTCTAAAGTGTTGAGGGCCTAAGACTTAGGCTGGCTGGTTCTTGCGTAGTAGGGAATGAAGAAATTGAGGTATCCTATATACTCCCTTGAAGTGTACAGAGCCCTAATTCCGTCATTCCTTACGTTGAACCTAAACCCTAAACCCTAACCCTAAACCCTAAACCCTAAACCCTAAACCCTAAACCCTAAACCCTAAACCCTAAACCCTAAACCCTAAACCCTAAACCCTAAACCAGGACTTAGGGTGAGGGGTTCAGGTCCCAGGCTTTGTCGCTTCAAGCTCCCTGGACGCCAGCGAAGGGGAGGGTTTTGTGAGGGGGGGGGGGGGGGACGTCAGGACTCCGAGTCCTAAACCCTTAAGGGTTTAGGGTTTAGGGTTTAGGGATTTACCCCCGAAACCCCAAACCCCAAACCCCTGTCCTGACATCGAGGTTCTTTTGCAGCCCAGAGCCCTAAAAGGATCCAAAACGTAGAGACCCCAAATAGTACCCAATACTACCATTGGGCCCTTCTTGGGAACCCTTTAAAGGGATCTACTCTTTGGAACATCCTTCTCACCATGCCCCAAAAGGTATACTAAAGGGAATCCCAGCTCTAATCACCCTTAGACCATGTTCCAACTTCCTGGAGTTTGCTGTACTGAGAACCTTAACCCTTTATAGGGTTATTCAGGGAGGGGGGTTCAAGGGGGGTATTATCCCAAGGTTCCCGAACACTCCCTACTACTCCCTAAGGCTCCCTAAGCCTCCCCATGAACCCCCCTCCCGTAAGAACCCTTTCAACCCTTGGCCCATCGCCCGGGCCTGACTTGGTCGGGCGCCCACCGCGCGTGAATGGCAGAGAAAATCAATGGGGGAGAGAGATAGTGAAGCGCTGTTTGAGCCAAGTACAAAGCCAGCAAAGTGGGGGGGTGTTCTTGGCAAGGAGCTTATGTCGGAAGGTACCACGGTGAGTATACTGCAGCAGGAGCTACGTAGCCCCATTCTGGTGGTTGAATTGGGGTATTTCCAACAGGGGTACCCTGAATGTACTCCCAAAATGCTCTTATCCATACTACAGGAACTGCCATGGACCGCTCAACTTCACTCCCTACACTTGAACAACATCTTCCTTTGGGTTCCATGTACAAATTGAAACATACTTCCCAAGAGCCCCCGTAAACCCCAAACCCTAAACCCTAAACCCTAAACCGAGCCCTAAGCCATGCTATCCTCATTTACGGAGAACTGAAGATGTGCCAACGTCGGAAGCTTTATCTGCGATGCCCCAGCCTGAACCGACACCAGAAGGGTGCCAAAGCCCCATATCTCCCTAAGCACTTCAACAGGTTTAGGGTTTAGGGTTTGGGGTTTAGGGTTTGGGGTTTGGGGTTTAGGGTTTGGGGTTTGGGGTTTAGGGAGCCTAAGCCCTGCAAATCTTAAACTCTCAACAGCCTGCGGGGAAGCCGTCGAAGGCTGCCTTCGGCGCCTGTCAACTCGTTGTAGGTTTTGCAGAGGTGCTGTTAACAAACTTATATAGGGTTAAGAGTTTAGGGTTTATGTAGCTTAGTTGTCCAGTACCTAGGGGAACTAAAGGTTAACCTTTGGGATCATTCGGATTTTATCATGGAGTAAGGTTCCCCAAGCCCTAGACCCGAAACCCTGAACTCTAAACCCTCAACCCCAAGACCCCTTCTACACCTGACAAGCCAAAGCCACCAACATCTCATCGCACGGCTGAACCTAAGAGCCACTCGGCTCAAGTCTACTTGGAAGCTCTCTCATCCGTAATCCTCTTAAGCCCGAAAAAGGGGAGATGTAGAACATCCCAAGGACCTGCCTAGGCAAGCTTCGTGCCTGCTCCTCACCGGTTGCAGACTCGATGGCAGCTTCGAACGACTCCGCCTCTTAGACTCTACTTGGAGGCTCGCAGGTGGGTAGAAGTAGGGATAGAAATACCTTAGCCTTAAACCCTAAACTCTAGATAATGTAGAGAATACCTTAACCTTAAACCCTAAACTCTAAATAATGTAGAGAATACCTTAACCTTAAACCCTAAACTCCAAACAATGTTGTATGTCTAGTTGCCATACAGAACTCGCCAGAGACAAAGAACACAGGCTTCGCAAAGACACCCCGAGACGAGGCAGTACGAGGGGTTGGGCTTTCCCAAAACAGGGGGGTTTAGGGTTTAGGGTTTAGGGTTTAGGGTTTAGGGTTTAGGGTTTAGGGTTTAGGGTGCGCACCCGTTTTTGGGGGGGTTCCCTTGACAAGGGGCAGTACGTGGGGTTGGGTTAAGTTGGGTTTCCGCAAAACAGGGGTATGCACTGTTTTTGGTGTGTTCCCTTCACAAATGTTGCAGCATTTGGCATTTGGGGGCATTTTCTGGAGTAGTTCTTCAATAGCAAGGACTAGCGCGAAGCAACAGCCCACAGCGTTTCAAAAACCCGGAATCACGCAGAACGGGCTGGGACTGCACATTCCCTAAGACTCCTACCCTAAACCCTAAACCCTAAACCCTAAACCCTGCAACCTAAACCCTAAACCCTAAACCCTAAACCCCAAAAGCCCTCAAGCCCTAAATAACGCCCTAAAACACAAAACCCTAAACCCTTAACCTGCCTGTCTGCCGAAGAAGTTGCGGCAGGTCGCCACGTCAAGGCCGCCAATCGGATCCCCATATTTGCAGCGCCTTGTTTTGAAGGCCAGCAGCTTTCTTCATATTCAGGTGTGGTTAAGGATTTAGGGCTTAGGGTGTTTGATATTTGCTTAAGAACCACCCAAAAACAACAAATATTCTTCCTTAACAGGCGAACATGGGGATTGTTAGCTGTTCAGGTTTGCTGGCGGGTTTATGGCCAGTAGTACGGTTCCTTTTTATGGTATCTCCACCGAGGTTGCTCAACAAAACGCCCGGCTTAGGCCTTTAGGGGCTTGCGAGCACAGGACTACTCGGTGAGACTCTTGCTGTGACTCTCGTGGTTCAGAGCCCCAGACTCTTGCTTTAAGACAATGGACATGAAAAATACTTTGGGGGCTTCCGGCTTTGGGGTTTAGGCCTCTTCCTGACATGTGCCGATTTTGGGGCTCTGGCTTGCGCTGCCTAAGCGGCAGGCGGCCACTGCGCCCCGAAGGATAAACCCTAAACCTTAAACCCCAAAACCTAAATCCTAAACCCTAAACCCTATAGCCCTAAACCCTAAACCCTAAACCCCAAACCCTAAATCCTAAATCCTAAATCCTAAACCCTAAACCCTAAACCCTATAGCCCAAACCCTCAACCCTAAACCCTAAACCCTATGTACACCCGCACCGGCCAGTGGCGCCAGGCCCCTGGCTTGGCAGGCTGGATCTGCGGACCATCTCCTGCGACTAAAGTGATAAAGGGTTTAGGGTTTAGGGTTTAGGGTTTAGGGTTTAGAGTTTAGAGTTTAGGGATTAGGGTTTAGGGTTTAGGGATTAGGGTTTAGAGTTTAGGGTTTGGGGTGCCTTTGACAGGGGGCTTGCACTTCCCCAAAACAGGTTCAACAAAAACCCAAGCCTTCAACCGGAAAGCTTACGCCGGCAAAGTGTCAGCAGCGGACGCTTCGGTGTTTGGGCTTGGGAGGTTTGGGAGGTTTGGGGGGTTTGGGGGGGGGGGGGGGGGTGGGGTTTGGGCGTTTCGTGGGTGGGGCTTTGGGGGGGTTTTGGGGTTTTGGGGGGGGTTTGGGGTTTTGGGTGGTTTTGGGTGGTTTTGGGGGGGTTTTGGGGGTTTTGGGGGGTTTGGAGTTTTGGGGGGTTTTGGGGGGGTTTTGGGGGGGTCTTGGGGGGTCTTGGGGGGTCTTGGGAGGTCTTGGGGGGTCTTGGGAGGTCTTGGGGGGTCTTGGGGGGTTTGGTGTGGGTTTGGTGTGGGGTTGTGTGGGTTCAGCAGAATTAGGGTTTAGGGTGTTCAGGGGGTTTGGCGTGTGCAGGAGGGGCCTAGGAGCCCTGTAATGGATGGCCTTACGGGGATGTGTAAGGTTTAGGGGTTAAGGCTTAGGGCTTAGGGTTTAGGATTCAGGGTTTAGGGCTCACAGAAGGGATTAAGGCTCACAGAACTGAACTATAGTAACTATAGTTTGCTTCAAAACCAACCAGCGGGGCTCGCACCGGACATAACAAATTTTGCACCGCAGAGAGATCGCGCAACACCAGCGTTTCCCGTGGACGGAGTCGTCTGGTGACCGCAGCAAAGACCAATGCGACGAACGAACTGGCGCTGCTCTTTGCGGGAGCTGAAAGGGACGGCTTTCCCAAAGAGCCCAATACCCCTTAATTAAGGAATATGCCTTACATCATACTAAGGATCCCTTTATGTTTTAAGGTATATTCCTTAATGAAGGGGTTTTGGGCTCTCTGGGTTCCTGCGCAAGCACCGCAAGCGTAGTGCTGAGAGCTCAGGAGAGGACTGTCGTGCACTGGCGACAAGACCGTCGACCAATCCTGGGACCTTTTCACTCTCTCTTCCTTTCTGGGTTCAACTTGGCTTCTTTTCGGAGACAGGGGACGGACCCCTAATTTTCGGAACTCTAAACCCTAAACCCTAAACCCTAAACCCTAAACCCTAAAACCCTAAACCCTAAACCCTAATCCCCCAATTTGGAACCCTAGACCCCAAATTTTTGGAAACCTAAACCCTAAACTCCAAAAGGGGACAACGGCCGAAGTTTGAGTGCTCGCACCTGGGCCACTGCTGCGCAGGGGGGGCAAGCAGCTTTGCTTCGCGGAGCGCCCCCTGGTATCGCCATGACTTGCGAAGTAGAAGAAACCCCAACAGGGTTTAGGGTTTAGGGTTAGGGTTTAGGGTTTCGGGTTTCGGCTTTCGGGTTTCGGGTTTTAGGTTTAATTAGGGTTCAGGATGTACGGTTTAGGTCAGCCCTATAATACCTATAAGTCCCTCCATTAGACGGCTCATGAGTCCTTGGCTGACCGAGTTGACAACATCCTCCGAGAGCAAGATGCAGCCCGCGCACGTCCCCCACACCTGGCACCAGGACGAGGACATCGGAGTCGGGTTTAGGGTTTAGGGTTTAGGGTTTAGGGTTTAGGGTTTAGGGTTTAGGGTTTAGGGTTTAGGGTTTAGGGTTTAGGGTTTAGGGTTTAGGGTTTCAGGGAGTGCTCAGAACAGGTGGCTCTACTGCGCTTGTGGCGATGGGCCTGGCGTATCTCCTAAGCCCTAAAACCCTAACTCCTAAACCCTAAGCCTAAGCCCGAAGACTCTTACTTAAAGGGTTGGCTTGATGGGCCAACAACCCGAACACCTTGAGGCAGCAGAAAAATATTGTGAGGTGGTAGCTTGGAGCTTGACCCGGAGAGACTAGGCCGTGTAGCTTCGGGTAAATTGCACATGTGCACCCATCTGATCCGCTTTGCTCCAGACTCCTGAAAGCCCTAAGAAGCGAAAAGCTTAAACCCAAGAACAAGTGATGATGAGCCAGTGCAACATGAAATTGTCACAAAAAACAACCCCAATTCAGTAGCAGTGTTACCAAAACTTACACCCCGAGTAACACCTCCCGAGCAAACAAAACCTTCAACCCAAACCCCAAGCCCCAAGCCCCAAGCCCCAAGCCCTCAGCCCTAAACCCTAAACCCTAAACCCTGAACCCTAAACCCTAAACCCTAAACCCCCCTCGGCGCCCAGGCCGGATGGGGCCGGCGCTCCACACCGTCCGAACCGGCACCTGCACATGGGAGTCTGGAGGTTCCTGGATCGTTAGAAGTAGGGGGGTGTGCGTATGGCAACTATGCTTGCAACCCCTGTGTATCTAGGACACTTCTAACCCTACTTATGACTACACAATGAACCTCCAAGTAGATTCTGGGGTTTAGGGTGTAACTTTTGGGGTCTCCGCTATGGTGTACTTTATGTCTGAAAGTACCAGACCCCCCCCAAAAAAAATAAAAAAAAACAGACTTCGCTGCAAGGAGCCTGGCCCCCTTTCATCAAGGACATACATGAAGTAGGGTTTTGCCAGCATTCCCAAAGAGACACCCCACCCATATGTATATGTATTGTGCACAGTATGTGTATATGTATCTATGTATATCTATATGTATTTGTATAAATGTATAAATGTATAACTGTATAAATGTATGAATGTATATATGTATGAATGTATATATGTATATATGTATATATGTATATATGTATATATGTATATATGTATATATGTATATATGTATATATGTATATATGTATATATGCATAAATGTGTATATGTGTATATGTACATTTATATGTATAACGTATGATGCATCATGTATAATGTATATTGCATATTGTATAATGCATATGTATATGTATATGTGAAAAGGGATCTACATGAGCCCTTGAAAGTGCAACGTGTACAGGGGATTTTCTTCTGAATGAACGTCGATTCCTTCTAGGTGCTTTTTGCTGGGCCTTAGGGCTCGCGGTGGTCGTCTTCAAGGACCCCACCCCTTAAAACGGGGCGCCAATGCTAAGAGAACTGCCTAAAGCCTAAACCCTAAACCCCAAACCCTAAACCCTAAACCCTAAACCTAAACCCTGAATCCTGAACCCTAAACCTGGATGCCCTAGATGTTGAAGCTCATCTTCCAAAATGGAGCCTCCACGTACATAGGCTCGAAGGTGCTTCATGAACCTCGCAGTGTGCCCTCAACCCCAAAAGACCCGTTTAGGGTTTAGGGTTTAGGGTTTAGGGCTTAGGGCTTAGGGCTTAGGGTTTCTAAGACCAGCCGCATTTTGGCTTTTCGGACCAAGGACGTAACAGATGGCAGTCCCTGTATTTGTCTGAAGTCTAAAGCGGTTCAACCCTAAATCCCAAAACCTAAAGCCTAAAACCCGAAAGCAAATCCTTTCAAACAATGGAGCAAGCATACTGCTGGAGGAGGTCCCTGGAGTCGTTTGCTTCAGCCCTCATTTTACCACTGCTCCCATCCCGAACCTCTTACAATCATGCGCAAAGCCGCTCAACACTCTCGGGTTTTGGAGACCCTGAACCCTCAACACTCTACTCTCGTTAGAACAAGAACTAGACTTGCCTTTCCTATCACCTTGCGGCTGCTGTTCAGGGTTTAGGGTTTAGGGTTTAGGGGTTAGGGTTTAGGGTTTAGGGTTTGGAAACCTTCAACACAAACTCCTGAAACCCTAAGCCCTGAACCCGAAATCCATGGATCCATCCTCCCTAAACCCTAAACACAGAACCCTAAACTTAACCCAAACCACTAAAACCCAAACCCTAACGCATAAAGCATAAAACATAAACCCTAAACCCTAAACCCCTAAACCCTAAACCCTAGCCCTAAACCCCAACCCTAAACCCCTAAACCCCTCAACCCCTAAACCCTACACCCTAATGTTAAATCCTCAACCCTCCCGGCTCCGGGGCTTTCTGCCTTTAAAAGGTGCATTGGAATGAAACCCTAAACCCTGAACCCTAAACCTAGGTTGCCCAGTAACCGAGGATTAAAAAGGGTGCCCTTTTTGGCTTAAAGGGGTTTATAGGGGAACCTAGAGCCCCTAAAAAGGGAATAAGGGCACTACTGGGCATCCTAGAAACCCTAAAACCCTCAACCCCTTTGGGGCCACAGCTCATCGGTGCCAGCGATGATCTTCATGGTGGTGGACTCACCGCCAGGAATGACAAGCCTCGGGCTGTCTGGATGGATTGAGGGTTTAGAGGATTTAGAGGATTTAGAGGGCTTTGGGGCGGTTTTGGGTTTAGGTGTTGGGGGTTTTGGGATTTTTGGGCTTCAATTCCCTAAACCCGGAACCCGGAACCCGGAACCCAGAACCCTAAACCCTAGACCCTAAACCCTAAACCCTAAACCCTTAACCCTAAACCCTAAACCAGGCTTTGACGGGAAGTTGTTGCTGTGGACTTGCACATATGAGGCACTGGAGAGGATCGTGGTGCTACACGAAAGGAGAAGCCGTGACTCTACCCTGTGCTACTGCTGGGGAAAGGAACCTCAAGCAAAGGATCTCCATTCCCAACTTCCCCTAAACCCTAAACCCTAAACACTGCCCCGCTGTCGCGCCAGGCCCCCAAGCGCGTCGCAGGAGTCCAGTTCTTGCATCTTCCGCACCTGCGACGAGGAGGCTCTTTTTAGGGTTTTACTTCTTTTTTTTTTTTTGGGGGGGGGGGGGGAATGGGGTTCCGAATTTAGGGGGTTCCTTGTTGCGGTTTAAGGTTTAGGGCTTAGGGCTTAGGGTTTAGGGTTTACAGTTTAGGGCTACCTGGGGGTCTACGTTAGGTGGCCGGCCGCATGCTATCGCAGGGGTTTAGGGTTTCGCCCCTTGATCTTCGGACCTCTGCAAGCAAGGGCGCTGATGGACATACTTCTCTACGAGTTGCTTAAGACCACCCCCCCCCCCAAAAAAAAAAAAAAAAACAAAAAAAAAACAACATATTCTTCCTTCTAAGGGCAATATAGGGATTATTCTAATCTTTTGGAGGGTTCTTAAGCAAATAGTAGTTCTAGAGTAATAAACCAATAGGTTCGGTATGCTTTTTACACTTTTTGCGGCGGACACCCCGATAGTCAAGTGAGAGAGCAAGTTTGTGATGCGCTTTACTTGTGTTCTTTTTTTTTTGGGGGGGGGGGAGCGGGCCTTCATTGAGGCAGAGACCTTGGGCCTTGAAATAGTATCTGGGGTTCCATACCTAGGGGCTCGATCACTCCTAAATGAAAGCAGATCCCTTAAGTTATAACAGGGTTCTTTAAGGAATAAATCTTCATTCAGAATTATTTAGGGGTTTATGTGCGGTTGAATTTAAGGGATGCTCCTCCATTAAGTAAGAAGTATACTTGGGGTTCCATACGGGCGTGTGGAGCTGCGCTGCGTCATGTTCTACGCATGGGCGGACCCCCACCCAAAAGCCTAAACCCTAAAACCCCTAAACCCCTAAGCCCCTAAACCCCTAAACCCTAAACCCTCCCGAAAGTGTGCCCCGAGGGTGCCTGGATAATGTTCAGGCGATCGGTGAGGTGCGTTGGCAGCAGCTTGAACATGGCCTTCACGAGTCGTGTTGCGCTCGGGGTTTAGGGTGTAGGGGTTTAGGGCTTTAAGGTTAGGGTTTAGGCTTTAGGGTTTAGGGTTTTTTTTTAGGGTTTAGGGTTTAGGGTTTGGGGTTGGGGGTTTGGGGTTTGGGGTTTGGGGTTTGGGGTGTAGGGTTTGGGGGTTTAGGGGTTAACATAGAAAACAGCAAGCTCACAAAACATGATACCCTAAAGCCCTTAACCCTAGACCTGAAATCGTGAACCTTCCTCGATTCCAGCCCTCTCGCACAGCCAGAAAAGAGCCCAACACCCCCTTAGTCAGGGCTCGCAGATATCCCCCAGGTTGTCCTCCATAATAACCTTAACCAGTCCCCAAATAGCCCTTAATTATTGGGGGGCAAGGTAGGAGGGGTAGTATAGCCTCAAATATCCAGGGGGGGAGGGGGACTTGGGCTCTCAACCCTGAAACCCTGAACCTCTGACCCTAAACCTCAACAAACCTCAAACCCTAAACCCTCAAACCCTCAAACCCTAAACCTCAAAACCCTAGACCCTAAGCCTCACTTAATTTGGGTCTCCCGGGTCTCAGGCCTCGTGCTCCTCAAAAGCCCCTTGCAGCGCCAAAATGCCCAGCGTCGTCCTCGAAGAGGCATAGCGTTTGGGGTTTGAGGTTTAGGGTTTGGGGTTGACGGTTTAGGGCTGTAGGTCTTTAGGGTATTTTGGGCTTTTTAGGGTTTTAGGGGTTTAGAGTTTCAGGCTTTGGGGGTTCAGGGCTTTAGGGACTTTGGGGCTTTGGGGCCTAAGGGTTTTAGGGGGTTCAGGCTTATGTCGTCGCCGTGCGCCGCTTGTCAGCCCTCCGGCGAGGCGCTAGAAAACCGGAACGCTCGTGAATTTCATAAACCCTAAACCCTAAACCCTAAACCCTAAACCCTTGGTTCACCACGCAAAGCCCGAACACTTGAATACCCCTCAGCTGAGGAAGATGGCACTTGGCTGCACTTAGTAGGGTAGCCATAAATTAAGTTTTTAGCTGCCTTGTTCGGAAACCCAATAAACCCAAAAACCCAAAAATCCAAAAAGGCTAAGGATCTAAAGTTACAGTAAAGCACCACAGAGGAAGATGGCATAGATTTTGCCAACACTCCGGGAGCGTCGCCTCGAGCCCGTCGAAGTCCCTGGCGCCAGCAGGGCCCTCAGTGACACTGAAGGCCCGCCCAATCCCGCCCAGCTTGCCCGCCGCAACGTGTGCACGGATGAAGAACGACGCGGCGCCTCTCGTCCCATCCGCCTTCATGCGGTGGTAGACCACTCCCCAGAGGTCCGAAATCCCAACTCCACAAGGAGTCAGGTTGATGGAGTGGGTGCCCTGCACCACGCGCCGCACGGCAGCTGTGTCTTGGATGAGAATGCGTGACCTCTCCGCGAATCGAGCCGTCCCGCTGCAGCCGGCATCTGCTTTACACATCCGCACAGGATGTAATTAGGTGTGGGGTGTAGGTAAGTTTGGCTTAGGTGTGTATATGGTTTGTGGTATAGTTATAGGTTTCTCCAAACCCTAAACCCTAATGACCCTAAACCCCAAACCCCAGAACTTAATCCCTAAACACCAAACCCGAAACCCACAAACCCTACCTTGTTCCTCTTAGGTAGGCTTTAGGCCATGGGAAGGCGGTGGTGAGTTCAGGGCCCGAAAATCCCATACCGCTTCATGTAAGGAGTCTTTGACATCCCTCCTTCTCCTCCGCCTTCCCCACTTTCCGCTCCCCGACCCCCCCCCCCCCCCCCAACCCAACTTTGAACGGAGACGTGGGGGTTTAGAGGGTTTGGGGGTCTCGGGCGGAGCTTAGCCAGAAAATGCAGGGGAACCTTTCTGGCACACTTAAACTTGAATTTGATTTCGGGGGGCTTAGGGTGACCCTGAGCCCTCGCCCCCAAACAACGACGCACACCGAATTCTTTTGGCTTGCCTCGAGCGACCTTTGCTTCAGACTCACGAGGTTCCTTCTTGAGATTGTTGGCACTTCTGCAGGATGTTTCGGGTTTGGGGGCCATCCTTTAGATTCGGTTTAGGGTTTAGGGTTTAGGGGTCGAGGTTTAGGGTTTAAGGTTTAGGGTTTAGGGTTCAGGGTTTAGGGTTTAGGGTTCTCTCCTTCCACTGGCAGGCGTGGGTGGCGACATGGCGAGAAATGCGCACGTCAACGGACGACAGCTGCAGGTCTTCTGAGTGCCCCCCTTAACCACGGCACTTTGTGGGTTGCAGCTGCTGGAGCATTAAAGAAGTGTGGCAGCGCTCATGTTTCGACCTATCATGAGGTTCTTGCGGCGTGTCTTTTTTTTCATAGAAAAGACATGGTGTAGGCTTTCAGCCATGGCGGCGAAGGCGGTTGCCCCAATACCCCAAGGTTGCGTGGGCATTCATGTCCGCAAGCCCACAAAGATGCCTGCTGCCACAGGCAACAAAAATATTATGCTTCAATGAGCAAACGTAGGCACACAGCACACAAATGGTCGAGCTGAGCAAACTCGCCCCTGAACCCTAAACCCTAAACCCTAAGCCCTAATAAGCCCTAATAAGCCCTAATAAGCCCTAATAAGCCCTAATAAGCCCTAATAAGCCCTAATAAGCCCTAATAAGCCCTAAACCCTAAACCCTAAACCCTGAACCCTAAACCCTAAACCCTGAACTGAGCCAGCCAGACGTGCTGTTCATGTTCGTCTGGGACGTGGCTCGGATCTTCGAGCCGAAGTCCAGTAAGCCCATGCCTGGGAATGTCCGGGTCGGGTTGAGGGTTTAGGGTTTAGGGTTTAGGGTTTAGGGTTTATTGTTGCATACTTAGCTCATGGGTCGTTTGAAGAATGGGCTCTCTAATCCCCCAAAAGGGACAGACAGGGGAATCTGCGATCACCAAGTCCCTCATACCTGACCCTAAACCCTAAACCCTAAACCCTAAACCCTAAACCCTAAACCCTAAACCCTAGAGGCTTGATGGGATTACCTGAGGCCACCACACTCATCATGGCTGCCGACAGGGGCCCTGGCATCTCGTAGGTGTCTCCGGAATCCAGACACTCCAAAAGACTCCCAGGGTTTAGGGTTTAGGGCTTAGGGCTTAGGGTTTAGGGTTAGTCTACTTGGCTTTCATGGTTTAGGGTCTTTATGAGGGGGTTTCGTGCCTGCTAAGAATGGCTTCGTTTGGGTTACCTTTCTGTTGGTTTCTGCGGGGACTCGAAGGGGCTGGGGCCTTTAGGGTTTAGGGATCCTGTCTTTGGGCTTCTTGTAACGGTGATAGAACCCAACAGCCCTCTCTGTTTGTCCCTTGGAACCCTTTGGGCAAAGTATTCCAATGTTGCTCTAACTTTCTCCTTGAAACCAATGAGGGAAAATAACATACAATTCCATCTAGGGATTCCTATGATGAATTCAGAGCTACAAGCCATGAAGAATGAACGAAGGCTTCCTCTGGGTTTAGGGTTGAAGGCTGAGGGTTTAGGGGGTCGATTGAACGCCAGTCAACTGTGTCAGGCGCGCTCTGTGAGGTGTGGAACGTACACCCCTAGCCTCAGCAGCGGATGTGGGGCTTCGGGTTCAGGGTTTAGGGGTGTAGGGGTGTGGGGCTAAGCGAGGGTTGAGGGGTAGGGGTTTAGGGTTTGGGGTTTAGGGTTTAGGGTTAGGTTTTAGGGTTTAGGGTTCAATACCCCCTAAACGCCTAAACCCTAACTAAAGCCATCTGTAGACCCCCAAGGTGCCTGATGGCCCTACTTCTCGCGGCTTTTGCTGCAACTGCTAAGGACGGTGCTGTGGGTGTTGGTGCACGTACAGCGGCTTCCTGCCCTCCATCTGCGGGTTGAGCAAATCCTCACGAAATTCCGCAAATTACTTTTTTGTACAGGGCCGTCGTTCACTACTGGTACGAGCCTCTTGGCAAGGCTTGGGCGTGACGTTCTAAACCCTAAACCCTAAACCCTAAAACCTAAACCCTAAACCCTAAACCCTAAACCCTAAACCCTAAACCCTAAACCCTAAACCCTAAACCCTAAACCCTAAACCCTGCACACTAAACCCTACCGTTGCAGGCATCATTAAGAAGGAGGGGTCATGTCGGCCCCTTTGCCTGGGCAGAAGTTGGCAGTTCTGCGCAAACGCTGGCATCCGGCTGTGGCATGGAGGGTTTAGGGTTTAGGGTTTAGGGGTTTTGGGGGGCGGGGGGGGGCGGGGGTGGGGGGGTGGGGGGGGGGCGCGGGGGGGGTGGGCGGGGCGGGGGGGGGGGTGGGGGGGGGGGGGGGGGCGGGGGGGGGGCGGGGTGGGGGGGCGGGGGGGGGGTGGGGGCGGGTGGGGGGGGGGGGGGGTGGGGGGGGGGAGGGGGGGGGGGGGGGGGGGAACCCGAAACCACCCCCCCCCCCCCCGCCCCCCCCCCCCCCCCCCCCCCCCCGCCCCCCGCCCCCCCCCCCGCCCCCCCCCGCCCCCCCCCCCCCCCCCCCCACCCCCCCCCCAAAACCCACGTGGAACAAGTGTGATTTGTCCTTCAGCTGCTCGTTGTAGATCTCGAGAAACGATGCCGACACGCGCAGCTCGTCGTACTCCTGCCAGCGGCTGCTGTGACACGTCTTTGCACACCATTTGTGTTCTCGTAGCCGGTTCAGTTCAATACTGTGCACAAGCAGGTGCTAAAACGAGCGTCGACAAATATAAGAGGAGTTGCCCTAAACCCTAAACTGTAAACCGGAAAAAGGACAAACAACATCGGAAAAGGCCCTTCGAGAAAACAAAACGACCATCTGCAACCTTCTTGAGCCAAGCCGGAGCGGGGCGAGCAGTTAGAGGTGGGGGGTTTTAGTAAACCCCTGAAACCCTAAGCTTGGGATGCTCCCCCCTATACGAACAGTGCTTAATATGGATTCTGGTATCCCCGATTCTACTCCCTACTAAGGACTCGTAGAAGGGGGAACATCCCACCCCCAAGCTCCAAGACCCTACTTGGTAGCCCAGCAACCATGTTGTAGTAAGGGGACCCTTTCTTGGGTTGGCTATTGAAGAGGGAAACCCAGAACCAAAACAAGGGTACCACTGCGCTGCCAGCAGAAGGCAACTCCAGCAACCTCAGCCTTCAAGTCTACAGACCTCAAGCCCCAAACCCCCACAACCCTTCGGAAAGAAGAAGCCAACCCGATGTTAGATCTTCCAACCCCCCCCCCCCCCCCCCCACCCCCCAAAGAAAAAAAAACCGAGGGAAAACATGGGCCTGGGAGAAGAGGTTCTGGCACCTCAGGCGGATGCTTTGCAAGAAGATGTTCGGTTTGTTCAGGGCTTTTGGGGTGTTTTGAAGCTTTACAGTTGTTAAAGAGGTCGTTTTTGGGCTTTAGCGAGGTTGCGGGTGGGGTGGGGGGGGGGTTGCGAGAGGGGGTGAGGGGGTGAGGGTTGGGTTGAGAGGAAGAAAGGGCTTTGGGGGCTGATTGACAATCTCAAGCCTAAATCCGGTAACGCCGCCTCGTTGCGGCTCCGCGTGTTTTGTGAGCGTGCCATTTTGGAGTTGGACACCGGAAGACGTGAACAACACTTGAGGTCGTTTGCGCTTCGCATTCGCTGGACGTGTCTTGACTATGTGCGCAATCACCACCACCACCAAGGGATTTGTGTTCGCGTGCGCAAAACACTGGGCACAGCGATGTTTTCGACACTTGCTCGGCGAGCTTCAAAGGGCGAAAACATTGTTGTACAACGAAGCGAAAAAAAGTGTACAGAGAGTCCACAATGCTGCAAATACCAGTGTTTGCGCGCCTTCGCCAAGCCATGAATGCTTCTGACCGAGTGTCTTGTTCCATACTAAGCTGTACAGCGAAGCACACATGCTGTAAATACTAGTGTTTTGGGCATCTTTGTTACGGGCATGAAGAAAAGTGAAAAAGGGTACGACTGGGCCCCTAAACCCTAAACCCTAAACCCTAAACCCTAAACCCTAAACCCTAAACCCTAAACCCTAAACCCTAAACCCTAAACCCTAAACCCTAAACCCTAAACCCTAAACCCTAAACCCTAAACCCTAAACCCTCAACCATAAACCCTAAACCCTAAACCCCAAACCCTAAACCCTAAACCCTAAACCCTAAACCCTAAACCCTAAACCCTAAACCCTAAACCCTAAACCCTAAACCCTAAACCCTAAACCCTAAACCCTAACCCTAAACTTGGAACGGCAAACCCAAGTTTGGGCTGCATGGGTCATCATCGCTGTGATTCGAGTCCTATCCTACGGTCTCCAGAAGTAGGCGCAGCCACTAGCAACAAGGTCACAGGCGGTGCAAGACTTCCTCCATCCACCGACTCAATTGAGGAGGTTCCTTGAGAGCTGACACAACTGCAGAGCCACTGAAGTGAGTCGCACCTGGCTGTTGTCAGCTATAACTGTACTTCGCGACTTGTGCCTGTCTTGCTTGTGGAGGGGGCACGCAAGTCGATTTCTGCATGTCACGCTGGCCGAGGCCATGCAAATCCTCTCCGTGTCAGGTGTATCGCGTGAATCCGACTCAAAGCCCTCAAAGTAATGTCAGGCTTCTGGTAGCGTTGACTGTGTTTTCACAGTCAACGTTCAGTCAACGTTCAGTCAACGTTACAGTCAACGTTACAGTCAATGCTACGCCTGCCAGCAATTCCATGGCTTCCAAGCATAAAAGCAAAAAAGAAAAAATGGGTTTTATAGTGAAAAACACGGATTCGCTGGCCCTGCCGGCATTTCCACAACGTTGACTGTAACGTTGACTGTAACGTTGATTGAACGTTGACTGAACGTTGACTGTAAAAATGCAGTCAACGCTAGACATGTAGTGCGATTGCTTTGACTCAGATTTTCCTTGCGGGTCACGCGATACCTGAGTGCCCAGCATGTTTTTGCTGACCTGGTCATCCTCAAACGCTTAATGCGGATCTGCAGATGCCGTGTTGTCGACGCACCGTTACTCAGCCCAACTAAATGAACCCACTCTTGCTCATACACCAACAAGCACAGCGCCAAAGCATCTCTACTTATCACAGAACTCGACCCCGATGTGTCGCCATTAGAAGTACTTTGAAGCCCCAGGCAAGCACATGTTGGCAGGCAACGTGCAATCTGAAGCCCCTGTTAAAAGCCCACGCTGGGGACTACTGTGGATGGAGGAAATGTTGCACCACTTTTGCAAGGCCG